GTGAACTGGCCACCCAGACGTAGGTCAGAAGCGCCGCCAACACATCAGGTTGCCAAATAAATGAATAAAGGCCCATTCGGCATTCACTTTTCCCAAGGAAATGCCTCCCCCCCTTCAAAAATGGTAGGATGCTGATGATGGCTACTGTTGCCTCTCAGGAAGAAAAAAATGGTCCCCAAGGCGTCGTCCCCCCCCCCCCAAAAAAAGGCTGGGCGGACAGGAAAAAACGAACCTGGGCACAAGAAAAGGTCCCCGTGGCAAAGTTAGGAGAGAAACGTCCAGCCGGGAGGAGGGAGGGAGGCCGTTTCCCCTCGTATTATTTATCGCGTGGATTTCAAGGAGGCCCGGCCCCAGCCCGCTTCCCATAATAAAAGCTCAGAGCAATGAAACGCATCCGAAGACTGAGGAAGACATACGAAACAACATATAAAAACTTCCACCCGCCTCCCTGCTCCCCTCCCCCCGTCGCTCTTTGCGCAAAAGGTGCCGAAGCCGTCAGCGGGGAACGGGAAGGCAAACCCGCGCAGATGAAAGCGGGCTCTTCTCTCTCTGCCCCCCAGCCCCGCCCTCCTTTCCCGCGCCCGCCCAGCCCATTCAAAAGAACACGGAAAAGCGGGAGCGAAGGGAGCAAACCGTTTAACCGGCAGGGCGGGAAAGCCGCCCATTCACTCCCTCGCTCGCTCGCTCGCTCGCTCATTCATTCATTCTTTCATTCATGCGCCCTTCCCGGCGCGAATCTGCCCGCGCGCCGCCTGCCGGCCAGCCAATCATCGACCCGCTGCGGGAAAGGCGCGCTTTTTTTGAAAAGACGCTCCTCCCCTCGCCGCCCCGCCCCCGTTCGCCCTGGGCGGAAAATAGGAAGCCGAGGCGAGACCGGCCGCCAGCTGTCGGGGACCACGGCTCCCAACCCCCCCAGCCGATAGCATCCAGCCCGCCCCGATAAACGCAGCCAGTTTCTCTGTTGGCGACTCAGACGTAAAAGGCCAGTGCAGATGTGCGCCGCAGTGTTGAAAACTGGGGAGTTGTGACGCGGACTTTTGCTGAAACCCGGTGGACTTGACTCGAGGGAGAATTTGCTTTTCTACGTGCGCCCCAGAGCATAAAGGGGTTTTCCACTTTCTCTTCCAAAAACAGAACCTTTAAAGCAGAGAGTCGTGTATTGTAGCCCCAAACCAGGAGGGGTCTGGTAGCACCTTTCCAAACTTTTTTTTTAATTATCATCTATGAATAATTTTTATTATGTTTTATTACCAGCGTGTTACCAGACTCCTCCTGATGACTGGCGCCCATAGGCCCACACAGTTCTCCTCCTGCAGTCACCCGTGGTGCATCCCTGATACTTAATTCTTCAGTACAGGGAGTGGTGACCCTGCAAAAATAAGGTTTGCCTCTGCCCCCCAGCAGGCAAAAACCCATCAGGGTAGGCAACGACATCACAAAGCTTAGGAAAATGTGGCTGGGCAAATTTCCGCCTCTCTTCACACAAGGGTTAGGGTAGAAATTCCCCTGAAAATGGAATCTTGGCCCAACGTGATGTACCTGGTGCATTATGAGAAGGGGCAGGGAATTTTGGGTGAACCAGAACATGGGTTATTGAATAACCAGGTTAAGTGTGCTGGGTAAACACAATGGGGGTGGTTCTCTTGCAAGCCCTGTCTTTCCCATCTTGTGAAAAAGGGGGCTCTCTACAAATGCCCACCCTTTGAGGTGCTGGGGAGTCAGGACAGAAGAACTAATGGGCAACAAAGCTTGCTTGTCATCTTAAGCAACTGACTGTACAGTTCAGGCCTCTGGTGATGGAGGACCCCAAAGTGGGTCCCCTTTCAGACCAGAGAGTTGTGGGGCAGGCAGAGAGAAGAAGCGGGTCTGGGTGGATGCTGGGAGTGTGTGAGAACATGCTTTGGGGACCTTTGACTCCTGGAATGCAGGAGAGGGCCTCGCCGACTTCTCGGAGAACGTGCCACCCTGGTCCTCATCTCACCCCTCTACTCCAGGCAGCTTCTCCCCTGAATCGTCCGTCTAATCTAATCTTTGCTGTTCTGCTTCAAATTCCCTCCTCTAGTGTGACCAACGGGGGCAAGACCACTTTGACCAATAGACTTATCCAAGCCCTTCCGAACTGTTGTGTGGTCCACCAAGATGACTTCTTCAAGGTAGGTAGAACTTTCTGCATTTGGTCGGTCTATTGGTTGGTTGAGTTGAAAAATGTCAGCCAGGAGTGCCCAGGTGAGCATCGTTGTACCACGTGAAGCCGAGCATGTCTTGTGGAGAGATGTGTCTTGGTGGGCTTTTGTGGGAAGGGGGGATGGTAGATGGAACAGACTGCAGATTAACTGGATTAGTGGACCCAGGGTAAAAGCCCCCCTCCCCTCTGTTTTGGGGGCAACAGCTAATGTGATTGGGGGCAAGAGGCCAGGTGCGTTCAGGGACCCTTGCCCACAATGATTTATCTTCTCACTAATAAAACACAAATACCCCTGGTCTAAATTGGTGCTGCCTATTGTATAAAGCAGTGTTTTTCAAACTTGGCAACTTTAAGATGCCAAGTTTGAAAAATACTGGTATAAAGTAATCTCCTTTTATTCACCAGGTCATAGGCAATGTATGTTTTTATTTGGAGAAAATAGACCGACGTGTCTACATATTTGGCTCAAGTGGCGGGTGGGTCTCCCTTCCCAGAACCCCCCCTTCCTATTCCCATCCCACACACAGGGGCTTCCTGGATTGAATGGAAATACTTTAAAACCAAGTGTTCTGGGCTACCCCTGACCCCCCATTTTTTAAAAAAACAAAATACAAGCAAATGTCTTAACTCTCTTTTGAATTGTTCTCTCAGTATAGCATTTTACTGTACAATAATATATATTTGTAAATTTTAAAGCTGTACACATTTATATTTATCTGAACCTGTTTTCAAACCTTATTTTGTGTGCTGATAGGCATGTTTGATTTTTATTTTGTTTTAAAAAGCAAAGCTCAGTGAAAGGAAATTGTTGCAAATATCCAAAGATTTGCCCTCTCGGCCCGATGCTTCTCCGTTGTCCCTCTCCCGTGCCTGAAAGTCATGGTCCCGTAATCTAATATTTTCTCTGTGGTGCCCACAAACCAGCAGTCCGTATGATGAATAAGTCAGGAACTCACTTAACGTATCTTGTATTGCAGATAAGATGGGCACGTGTAGATAAGCGTGCCTATTTTCGCTGCCTCTCACAACCCTCTCACTTCAAAAACAGGAGGAAGGTTGCCAAGGAGCCTGTGCACGTATTGATGTAGAAGCCAGCCAAGTTATGTTGCCCAATGAAGGAAACAAAAGTTTAGGTTGGCCGGATTCAACAGGTGGGGCTACCTGGTCTGAGCTGTGGGTCTCTGGAGCAGCAAGATCAGAAAACATTAACCCTTTGCTTCCACCTACTGCTCATCCAGAGGGTTGCAACCCAAATGTCGTAGCCCTACAAAAATGGGGCAGTAGGTCCCTTTGGCACAGTTGGAGGAACTTAAGCAGGATGACCCCCCAAATCACTTTGTCTCCGCTTGGGTGGAATGTCCACAGTATCCAGATTTGGAGGAGTAAAAGTACTTCCAGTGGATTTTGGAATCCCAGTTTTAAACCAGGATCTCTGTGGCACCCAAAGGAATCCAGGCAGAGTGGAACCAGATGCGATGAATGTGTAGACACTATTCCTTTATGAGTTTCTAGATCATTATCGGTTGGGCTGAGACAATGCCAGCCGAAAAGACCTTTCTCCCCTGAGCAGAATATAAATCCAAGCAATAATTAAAACACCATCGACGCTGTCCTTACGACTGCCTGAGAGATTTATCATCTGAAGCAGAGCCCAAATGTTGCACTCTCTTTAGGGACAACAGGTTAAAAAAATGGCTTGGAGGGCAACTTGAAGCTGCTGTTCCAGCCTGGTGTCACCTGAAGCAGGTCGCTGGCAGGGTGCTCAGTGCCCAAAGAGGGCCCGGCAGGGTGGTTTTCACCTGGTTATCAACATACGTGTCCTTTTAAGGTCTTCGCCTTTCCAGCTGGGAACAGCACTTTGTTCCCAAACTAATTTTTCATGAAATTGTTTTTAATTTAATTTATCAACTTGTCTGATTTGTTTGATTTTCAAAATGTGCAAGACTAAATCAAATAATAAACTGATTCTGTTGTAGAAGCTATGGCACCCATACCTCCCCCCCAACCCATTTCAATTTCATTTGAAATTTGTTTGTGTAACCACATTGGTTGTGACAAATGTAAGGCCCGGTGACTTCAAAAGGAGCAAATTCTGAGCAACTAACCTGGATCCAACCCAGATTAAAGCTGCATACAAACAGAGTCTGTTTTAACCTCTCAGATTTTTCTCAGTAAAAACACCATCTGCAGCATTAGTTGAAACAAGCCATCCCCAAACTGAATTTCCTTATCTAGCATTTGATTTAATCCACGGATGGGGAGCCTGTGGGTGAGCCCCTAAAGTCTCTTCTAGCTGTGATTGCCAGAAAAATTGGCAGCGGTTTCCTGCTGTGGAAGTGGGAAGCGTAACAGATGCTAAGTAATCCATACAATAGGTTTAAAAAGCAAGAGAAGAAACAGAAAGGGATCTCCAACTATTATTCCAACTACTGTTTCTTTAGTAGTTACAGTACAAAGAAATACAGGTAGTCCTTGTTTAGTGACCACAATTGGGACTGGCCTCTCAGTTGTTAAGCGAAGCAGTCACTAAGTAAAACTGTGGCTGTGCTTATGATTTTCCTTCAGTTTTCCTTTGCTTTACAGACCTGCAAAGGTCATAAATGTGAGGATGGGTTGCAAAGTTACTTTCTCATCACTGTTGTAGCTGTGGTCATTAAACAAGCAGTCATTAAACGAGGGTACAGAAGGAAACATCATTGCTCATGTAGGGACAATTCTACTTTTCTCGACGTGGCAACCTTAAACAGTTCAATAACAACAAAAAAGTGCGTGGGTCATTTTTTTGTTTATAGGGTCATTGAGAGAAAGGAAAGCTAAAAATAGAATAATGATAGTCCATTTAGGCAACAGGTTTTAGTATGTATTATTTGCTTATATGGCCTCTTTGTGATTCCCAGATGATCTCTTGTTGATGCAGCAACATATTAAGTGCTTCCAGATCTTCCCACGGGCCATAATCTAATCTGTAGAGCTGTGACTTAAAATTAAGTATCTTACTCATTTCCCAAAACTGACTTGTGAGTTCATGCCCAATACAGTCATCTTAGGCAGTACCTGAAACTGGGAGAAGCCATTTAATGTACACTGTGGAGCAAAAATTTGTATTTTAGGGCTTTTGGGACAAGAGTGGGCCTGTGGGTTTGTGTGCACCACAGCAGTTTTGCTAAGAAAGCACTTGCCGTGTGCGTGTGTGTGCGCGTGTGCGTGCGTGTTTTGCAGTAGTGTCCAGGTTGTGATCGGGTCTTAAGTAACTGATCACCCTGCATTTGCAGCAATGTTTTATTGATCACTATATTTCAGCCACAAGATCAAATACAAGTCGGGGAAGACGGCTTTAAGCAATGGGATGGTAAGAACGGTGTTCGCTATAGGATGCAGTAATGTATATTTTCCTAAGTATATTTTTATCACTATTCTATTATTAAAAACTTAATAGTAAAATTTAAATAATTTTATAAATCACTTCTTTAATTTACATACTTTCACACTGAGTTTCATGTTCTTTAACTGATATTTGCATATGTGTATATATAAATTTATTTCTTCTAACTAGTCTTGGATTCCTTGGACATGGATGCGATGGTGAACACAGTGCGTGCCTGGATCGAGAATCCTGTGAAGTTTGCCCGATCCCATGGAGTGAATGTTTCGCATGACTCAAAGGTGCTCAGTTCTGAGGATATCCACGTACTGGTTGTTGAGGGATTTCTGCTTTATAACTACAGGTAGACACCCATATTTTGCTATTGCTCATTTTAATCATTTATGCTGTGGGATGTTTTTTAAATTGGGCTTTTTTTTTTATTTGATCCTGCTTCTGAGCTTTGAACAACAGCTTCACATAGTCATTATCATTCTCCAGTTTTTCAAAATGGTTATTGTTAAAGCAGAGTAGCCCAAACCTCCTCCTCCTCCCTCTCCTCTTCCTCCCCCTCCTGAAATGCTTTGGACTTCATGGAAGTACAACACTTTTTTGCACGGCTGGCCCTTTTCAGCTTGTGCCAACCTCTGAAAAAAGTCCATCACCTGGGAGGAATAACAGAGGTGGGATGCCTGCAGAAGGCCTTCTTCTCTACCTTGGATAAGACCCCTTGCTTGACTGGAAAGGGTCAGTGGCGCACTTTGTTGAAATTAACCCACTAGTGGGACAAAATGATCATTTCCGAATCCCTTTCAAAGCATGTGCAGCTCTAATGCCCAACCTGGTACCGGAGCAAAGACTAAGCAGGACAAAGATGAAAGGATTGCATTGCCCACAGGTCACCTACTGTCTCTGGCACGAAAAATAATACAAAGTTGTAATGACAGGTTGCCCTTATGGGCAGCCAAGGCCTGAAATTTCAGATTGGCGGCTGTAATTGTGGCCAGGTACATCTTAGGCTTCTTCAGTGATTTTTTTAAAAAGCAATTCTTATTTCTAAATAAATTCCAATCACTATAAACAGTCCAATAAAATCCAGTGCATTTAAAAAGGGAAGAAGAAAAACAATTCATTAAACCATTCAATTCCTTTGTATTCCTCCCACATGTTAATATATTCACCTGATATAAAACAATTATGGTTCCCTGGTTAGCGTAAGATATAAAATCAGACCGTATATTTGAGAAGAGTTTCCTTTTAACTTGACCAGAACACAAGTGAAGAGCGTTGGTCAATTTCTCTGCTATGGCAATATGCCAGGCAGAGCCCCGAGGCCCTCCTGTTATCTTCCCAGTGTTCAGCTATGACAGTGTTGTCCAAACTTGGCCACTTTAAGATGAGTGGACTTCAACTCCCAGAATT